CTAAGAATAATTATTTTATAACCTCTTTTTTATCTCGTGAACTATAAAATATGATAAATAATATATACATAACATTGAAAAATAAACTTGATAAATCGATATATATTTGAGATTAAAAAAATCATATTATCTAATATATTGGTACGAGATTATGTCATGTTTTCGCGTTATTTTGTTTAAGCATCGTAACATTAGTAATCTGTCTTGCCATTGGTAACTAATACCATCAATTGTTTATACTCTGGTCCGAAAGCTGATACGAAAACCTTTGCAAGACATTTTCCAAGTATTCATCGTCTTCTCACAATCAGCAACTCCATCGAAAAGAATCAGGGCGGAATCAGGAGGAGACCTCAGGATAAGCTCAGCAAGGGTCGCCCACAGAGAATCAAAACTGCCATTGAAGAAGAAAAGGAGCAGTGAGATATTCCTTTCTAATTATCCCCACGCTCACTTGCAAAAACATACGGTACATTCCAATAGTGTGCCTCTCTGTTTCTTTACAAAGATTTCTCTCTCTCCTCTCTCTCCATAAAACGAAAAAAATAAAAAAAACAAAAAGCTTGTAATACAGTAAAAGATTCTTTCTGTTCACAAAGCACTGATTTTTAGCTCTCTTAAGATTTGAAAATTCGATATTCTTTGCTTTCCTTCAAATCTCTCCAATCTCCACCTCCACCACCACCTTCGCCGCCCACCACCGCCGCGAATTTCCGATTTGTAATGTGTTGCGTATAAATTGGCGTCTGCTTTTGTTTGTGAATAATTGAGTTAGGGTTTTTGATATTGCTGATTTATTTGTAAGAAAAATAAAACATGGAGAAGTACGAGCTGGTGAAAGACATAGGATCTGGGAACTTTGGGGTGGCAAGGCTGATGCGTAACAAAGAAACCAAAGAACTTGTCGCCATGAAGTACATCGATCGCGGCCATAAGGTCCTTTTTTTTTTTGGTTTTTATCTATTTATTTTTTAATATCCATATTTATATATGCATTTACATGTCTCTTTTCTATGTATTACGCATGCAAGTATATGTATGGCTGTTTGGATTTTTTTTAAAAAAAAATTTCCGAGGGAAAATTAATTTTTTAATTCTAACAAATCATTCTGGATTGTTTCTCAAAGGTTGATATTTGCAGCTGAGGGAAATGCTTTATAGTTGTTTATTATTTTATTTTGAAGAAAATTGGATATATCGTTATAAATTTGTTACATTTTAACTTTCGATAGATTGATGAGAATGTGGCAAGAGAGATTATAAACCACAGATCGCTACGTCATCCAAATATAATTCGGTTCAAAGAGGTATAAACTTTTATTCCTGTTTTTTTTTGTTGTGTTTAAATTAATTTACATGATTCACTTAAAAGGAAAACTGCAGGTGGTTTTGACTCCTACACATCTTGCAATTGTGATGGAGTATGCAGCTGGTGGTGAACTCTTCGAGCGAATTTGCAATGCTGGCAGATTCAGCGAAGATGAGGTTTGCTTTGATTTCATTACCTTATTAATGTTACGTTACTTTGTAACTGGCTGCATTTATTAATTTTCTTTTCCCCTCTCAGTTCATATAGTCATATAGAAACTTGTGTGAGATGAAATGCCTTGGATTGAGTTAACCTGAATTATTTTTTAAGGGAGAGATGGGCTGGTAAGTGTTTTTGAAGTTTCTGCTAATGATGTTCTTTCTAATATTTGTTTCCAGGCCAGATATTTTTTCCAGCAGCTGATCTCAGGAGTTAGTTACTGTCACGCTATGGTAACAATGATTTAATAGTTCTTTTATAATGAGAAGTTACAATTGACCTGCTATTTTAAGCTTACCATTCATTACCTCTTTTGATTTTCAGCAAATATGCCATCGAGATTTGAAGCTGGAGAATACCCTGTTGGATGGGAGCCCTGCTCCTCGTCTGAAAATCTGTGATTTTGGTTATTCAAAGGTATAACTGAAAATAGGGTTGTTACTGTAAGCATAATCAAATGCATGTGGAAATTGTTGTTGTTTAAGATGCTTCCTTCCATCCCCCCTTTTGTAGTCATCTCTGCTGCATTCAAGACCCAAGTCAACTGTTGGAACTCCAGCATATATTGCGCCAGAAGTTCTTTCTCGGAGAGAATATGATGGCAAGGTAATTTAATCTTTCATATACTTTGTTCAAATATTGTTGATAGTTGCTCCTTTATTAGACTAGGATATTTTAATTATGGTTATGTGCTTATGTTAATTGATCGTGTGTTAGAGAAGTTGATGGCGTTACATGCTGTGCAAAGATCAGCTGATGTTACTTGGCCATGTATTTGAGTTGTGGATGGTATTTATATGCTTTGTATAAGATCAATCCTTAGCATATTTAGCAATTTGTTGGAAATCTGCAAATAGTGCATTATTGCAGCTAGTGCCTCTTTGTGAGGAAGTTTTCATTTTAATGACGATGAAACAACATTTGTGATATTTATCAAAGAGAAACCGTGGTCTGAGGTTTAGCAAGTCTTTCCAAAACAAGGATAGAACGTTTTTCCTTTTGCAGTTTAAGATTAATTTAGGATTTTATTTCCTTTTCAGATGGCAGATGTATGGTCATGTGGCGTGACTCTTTACGTTATGTTGGTGGGTGCATACCCATTCGAGGATCAAGAAGATCCAAAGAATTTTAGGAAAACTATTAGTGTAAGTTACATTTTTCTGCACATCCCTTTGGTTGACTATCCTTAATCATTGCATTTATTTATGATTTCTTATGTTTTTGACCTGCTGCAGAGAATAATGTCTGTTCAATACAAAATCCCAGACTATGTTCACGTATCTCAAGATTGCAGACACCTCCTTTCTCGCATATTTGTTGCTGGCCCCTCCAGAGTATGTTCTGCTGTTACATAACTTGTTCAAGAATTACCATAAACCGATATTAAAGTTAAAACGCATTTAAATTCATGCGGACAGATGCTTGTTCTCCCATAATTTCCGTTTCTTAATTGGTTGCTTTTTGGCATGGTTGGAGCCTTGACATATATCCTTTTTTCCCATCATTTTCATGTTGTGCTAAAGCATAGGCTTATATAAACTCTCTGCTACTTGTGTGTTGAAAAATAAATTTTGTAGGCTTTTGATTAGACAAGAGGTTTTTGATTTTCCTGCTCTTCCATTCCCTCTTTCTCCTTTTGGGCCTCACTGTTTTAACTCATGTTTTTACAGAGGATCTCCATCAAAGATGTCAAGAGCCATCCATGGATTTTGAAGAACTTGCCCAGGGAACTGACTGAAGCAGCTCAAACTGCATACTACAGGAAAGAAAACCCAACTTTCTCTCTTCAAAGTGTTGAAGAAATCATGAAAATAGTTGAAGAGGCTAAAGCTGCTCCTCCAGTATCGCGGTCTATTGGAGGCTTTGGCTGGGGTGGGGAAGAAGATGGGGATGCAAAGGCAGAAGATGTAGAGGAAGAAGAAGAGGAGGAAGAAGATGAATACGAGAAGAGAGTAAAGGAGGCACATGCCAGTGGAGAAGTTAATGTCAGTTAAAAAGAAGTGTATGCTTTCCAAAATGGAGTTTTGCTTTCAGTCCTCGTGTTTATATGAAGTCAGTTTGTAGCTAGGACCTGGTGTTGAATAAACATTCTGTAAATTAGTGGTGTCTTGGGCAAGAAGTTTGTGCAGTCTTTGGTATGATTGTTTACGGTGTCTTGCTACTGATCTTGGAACTACTAGGATTTGAAGCCTACTCAGTTTGGTCAATTCCCAGTATAGGGTTCAGCTTCAAAAATTATGGGTTGTTTATGGTCTATAGACCACAATTGAAGATTTGCGAGTCTTGTAAGTTGATTTCTTTCCATCGTAAAATGGCATGCCTGGCGGTTTGACTCGTTATAAATCTAAAATATATCCAATATAATGCAAGTAACATTTATATCGTTGCTTTCGTCTGTCTCTGCTTGACTCTTTACTTCGGGTATGTATTCCTGTTGAACTCAAATTATAGACTGCATTGATGTAGATATGGATATGAAATGCACATAGATTTGACATATTCATGCTTGATTTTGAAGTAAAGGAGCGATGAGAGCAATGTCGGTGGTTCTCTATATGAACTTGTTGTACGGATATACCTTTTTTCTGCAAGTGGTGGATCTTCCTTTTACTTTCTACTGTCTTTTCTGTTTCGCATTAAATATTTCCATTAGAAAACTGAACGTTAAAGGGGTGCATCTTATGCTTTGCAATTTGCATCATCCTCGCTAGCCAACGAAAGGAAACACCTTGTAAAGTCATCTTGCATATACATAAATTAGAGATGATTCCTTTTCTTTTTTCGTTTTTTACATTCACAAAAAAAAAAAAGGTTAACTTTTGAGGTCGCTACAAGGTCCCCTGATTCTTTACTTGCCACGAACTAGGCTTCAGATCAGGTTTATCATTGCCTCAACGTGGTTGATGGGTTTGAAATCTCATTTCGTAAGTTTATAGTAAACAATGACGTTTCATTGTTTGAAGAAAACATTGGCCTAAGTGAACATGACATCTCAGGCTAAACTCTGGAAGTCCACGTCCTTATGTCACAAAGAGTGTTTCTATCCCACATTAGACAGAAATGAGAGATCTTGAATTCTTTATAAAACGGATGTACTGTACACCTCTATAAACGCATTTATGAAAAAGAGAATAATGATCCTGTGATAAATGGTATCAAAGTGGATCGAATTTCGTTTGACTCACGTTAAGCGCCTCAACGGATCGGGATAGGTAAGGTGGCCGACGGCAACGAATGCGTTGTCGAAATCAGGTGGGAGAGAGTATCATAAAAAGTGCCTTTATCCCACATGAATCAAGTGGGAGAGAGTGTCATAAAAAGTGCCTCTATCCCACATTAGACATAAACAAGAGATCTTGAGCTTTTTATAAAGTGGGTAATGACCTATGATACTAATCCCTTCAAAAAATTAATTGCAGATGACTGGAAATGACACTGGACAGAAACTGGTAAAAGTAGTGACAACAAACAATAAATACAAAAACATAATTAGATATAGGCAGAAGTAAAATGTAGGAACTTGTCCAAATTATAGCTTCCTTTCCCCTGCAGTACGAGCTCACTTAGTTACATTCTTTTACGTTGATTATAAAAAGTTAAAGCGATGCAAAGGCAATCGACTTTTAGTCTTGTATAACTCATCTAGGGTAAGTTATAGAATCAGATAATAAGTTTTTGAGTGTATCCATCAATGTTGGACTCTGATAGCATTGCATGCAACTTCCTAGTCTCAGTAAGAACACATTCCCCATCAAAAAGAGCTGACACAACAGCAACGCCTTTCAGATTTGGTACACCAATTTCCATCACAGTTCGTGCATTTGATACACCAATCCCACCTATAGCCACCACAGGTAACGTAGATGCCATGCAGACAGTTTTCAGCCCATCCAAACCAACAGTAATATTGTTTTCCTTGGTGTTGGTTGGATATACACCACCACACCCAATGTAATCAGCACCATCAACCCATGCTTGTCGGGTTTGCTCTGGTGTCTTGCAAGAGACGCCGACAATCTTTTCTGGACCAAGAAGAGTGCGCGCAACACGAGCAGGCATGTCAGACTGGCCAACATGCACTCCATCAGCATCACAAGCAAGGGCAATATCAATACGGTCATTAATCAGCAAAGGGACCCCATGTGAACGGCATATTTTAAGACATGCTTTGGCAGATTCCAGAAAGTCCTGTGTTTCAGCATCCTTCTCTCTAAAAATCAAGTGAAGATAATTTCATCACAAATAAATATTCGCAAACAGTTTTGTAGATTCAGTTGCTATAATGTTCAGGTCAAGCTAAAAGATAATTCAGACTTAGTATAGGTCATGATAACTGAGAAAAGCATACAACAGAAATCTACCTTAATTGAACAATGGTAGCACCTCCTTCTATGGCAGCTTTAACAGCATCTGTAATAGATCGGCCCCACTTTTTGTTCATCTCTGAATCAGTGACAGCATACAGAAGCAAGTCACTTGAATTAAATGCCTGCAGCCTATGACAGTCTTGAGAATGCCTCTTAAGCCTCAATAGATGATCAAAGGGACCTTGAGGCCCATTTCCAATAAATATGTCTTTGCTGTAATCTAAGGCAGTTTCAACAAAGCGTTTTGCTACCTGCTAAAAGTCAGGTGAATAAGAATGAGAGAGAGAGAGAGAGAGAGAGAGAGAGAGAGAGAGAGAGAGAGAGAGACCTAGAAAACAATGAAGTCATATCCCCACAAACAAGGGAAGATGAGACATGGCACAGATATAATTACCTTAACAGCTGAGACCATTGGATAGCCTTTCGCTAACTCTGCTGCTATACATGATGCCAAACTGCAACCAGTACCATGAGTGTTTTGAGTTTTTACACGGGGTGAACGCAGCTCATAGAAGTTATCACCTATAAAAGCAAATTTAGAAGTTTTAGTTAGCTATCAAAAACCTTCAGGTACATCAAAGCAAGGGTAATGGAAAGCATTAGCTTGAGAAAAATACATTTAATCTTACCATTAAAGAAAATATCAACAGCATCTGATGAATCAGGGAGGTCACCACCTTTGACAAGCACATTCCTGAGAAGCAAAATTATCAGAAGACAAAGTATCCGCTTACCTGTCAGCTTAGGAATAAAATTATAAAAGTTTAACCTGAGCAACATGAAGTTTGTAAGTGCAATTGCAAAATCTGCATTAAATTAATAAGAAATAAAAAATTGACAATTACTCTTCTTATGAAATCAGAAGGTCCATCCCTTGATGTTCAAAGATTATGCCTCAGCTAAGAGAGAGTGAAATACCTATCCTAAGTCTTTCTACTCTAAGAAACTAAAAATACAGTTATATTAGGTATTTGTACATTGTCATCCAACAAAATCTGTTGGGCAGAAACAACACTGACTCCAATGACAATAAAAGCCATTGGATGAGTTTCAGAAAGTTTACTGATGGCTGCAAATGGATATAGAATATATAATTACAGATCAGAAAAGAGAAATATAAACTAAAGAAATCTTTTATACTAACTTTGGGCCCATATCATACAACAATCGAGCAGCACAGCGTAGGTCATCCACTGTTTCCAATTGTACACCATCAAGTAAAGCGGATGCCTCTTTTAAATTTGGGGTTATTATGTCAGCCATTGGAAAGAGCACCTCCCTGAAAGCATGAAATAGAAAATAAAAACTACTGAGAACAAACAACAGTTCACATTGGCAACCTCAAATGAAATGAAGTTGTGGGATAGCTGGAGAATGAATTTACATAGTGATGATGCTCATGTGCAAAACCTTGAGGGTCAGCCATATATATCACTGAATATTCATAGAAAAAAGCCATAACATACCGAAACACGGAAAGAATGGAAGGACCTGCCAGCACATCCCCACTTGTAGATACCATGACAGGATCAACCACCAAAGCTGCCTTCAATTACCAGAAAAAGCCAACTAAAAATCCATTAAAATTGTAATTTGAAAATCACACTTTCAACTTTTAATTCGGGTGCATACCTTGAACAGGAAACTCCCTCAGAGTCTTACAAAGAATGTTGATGATGCCGACAGAAGGAAGCATGCCTGTTTTCACCTAATAACATTTTGATGATAAGCTAAAATTTAATTCTTTTGCAGTTATACCTAAAAGATCAAATTTTGAAAATAGCATAAGCCCAACTATGAGTTAATCATGTCTACGTACTTAAAGAGGGTTTAGAAAAAGTAGAACAACCCATAAAATGGATTCAGAGCTCATGACATCACTAACTCTTACCACATCAACTTGCATATCTGAGAGCACAGATTTTAACTGCTCTGCAACAAAATCCTCTGGTACATTACTCACACCCTGACAATCATTAGAGAATCGTCAACCAGAGCTAACTGCGACTCTCAACATTATTTCATGTAAAACAAACTTGAGCATTTCCTTCTACAAAAATAATGATTCTTTATCTACATAATCATTTTATCTTTTTTTTTTTTTCAGGTTTTAAATGATAAAGTCTCCGATGCAATGAAGCTAAAATCTTAAGAATTCATCTAGTAAAGAACAACCCAAAAATCAAATATCCAATTTGTTTCCTAGTACTGAAAAGAAATGCCAAGGAGAAGAACAAGAACCTGAACTCCAACAGTGTTCTGTGCAGTGACAGAAGTTATAACAGTAGAGCAGTAAACTCGACGTGCAGCACAAGCTTTAAGATCAGCTTGAATTCCAGCCCCAGCTCCTGAATCAGACCCAGCAACACTCAACACGTGTGGGATTTTTATCTTTAAATCATCACCCAATGTTGAAGCATCCTTTTCTTGCATTGCAACGAAACCTTGCAGATGCGTAGAATTCTTGGTTCTTAGAACAAAGGATGGTGAATTTGAAACTCTTAAGTTGTTATTAGTATACCCTTTTGCAGAAGCTTGAGGAGGAATCAAGAGCAAGTAATGCTGAGAGAAAAGACAAAACGGAATTTCAGCATCCTATTCTACAATGCTTATCTTCAACTGATGCAAATAGTAAAATCAATCCAGCCAATATAATTTCTACCAACTTTATTAGGAATATTTAAATCATTATTCTATGGAGTCTAGTGGCTTGAAACGAGAAGGAAAAAAAAAATGGTTACTTTACCTTGGTGGCGAACAAGGAAGAAGCAGAGAGAAATGTGGAGGAGGCCATTTAAAGAACGGCAAGCGATTTCGTTGATTGAAATATCAAAAATTTCTTCACGATTTATTTCCCATTTAATGGGCCGGTCCAATATCTTTAGAACCAAAGTTTCAGGCCTAAATCTAGATGTTAACATTGCTTCCTCATTTCTGCTGTGAAGCCCAACAAGTTTTTGGGAACGTCCAAACACAAGAAAAATTGTTGAAAAGGAGTCCAGTAATAACAGGACTAACAAGTGACTGTAAATTTAATTTAAGCACAATATTTTTAAAAAATTAAATTAGTTAACAAATTTAAAATAATTTTTTATTATAATTAACTATTAACTAATTATTATTTATAGTATATATTATTGTTATGACATAATAAATGTGACATATATATATATATATGATCATGTGATAATTTTATATTTTATAATCAATATTATATTAATATCAAATGAATTTAAAATAATAAATATAATAATTAATTATATTTAATCAAACATTAATTATAAAAATTTATTTAATATAAAATAAAAAATTAATTAAATATACCTAAAAAATAAGACTTTATTTAATTTTTCAAATAATCAAAAGTAATTTGAAACTTTGTTCCTTTAATTTATTTATTTTCTTTTTTCTAACCGAATTATTCACGATAATTCTTAATTCTTTATGAGTGTACACAAATTTGATAAATGACTTCAATTTAATAAATCAATAGCTAATTTGGTGTAACAATTATTTCATTAATAAAATTATAATTATATTTCGAATATTTTAATAATAACAAAATGGGGTTCCCAAATGAAGGTAACCCACGAAGTTTTGTTCATTGTATTTAAGCTTTGCCAAATATTCATATTTTCTTTTTTTTATACTAATTTTCTCGTGCATTTTAAAGGTGTAACGTTAGTGGCTTCGCATTTTCCTTTTCCTGTTTTCCAAATTATTTAAAAAATAATATGTACCAAATGTATAGTTCGGAACTTTGTACAATTAACTTTCAAGATATTCAACGGTCTTTTGGTTAATTTTTCCCGGGTCAAAACGGGTCCGGTTATAAAAACACGGGTACTAATTTCATTTTGGCGAGCGGGGCCAATTATCCCGCCATTACAGACCGAGCTGCATTTTAAAAGCGCTTTGTCTTACTTTCCTTGCAAACATATTCTTTGCTGTCCAGGTTTCTCTCTCCGATTAAACCCTAAGGAATCCGATATCAGATCAGACAAAAAAGGTTAGTTCATTCTTCGGTTCAATTCTATCTCAATCGATTCAAATATAGGGTTTCATTCCTTTCTTCAGTCTCACTTGCACACGTATTATCTGTAAGTAACTAAGTATATTTTCATGTCATTTTAGGCGGTGTAGCTTTTTAAGAGGGGCGTTGTTTGGATTTTACCTGGTGGTTGAAATGAGACGAAACTTTTTTACTCATCGTTATTGTTGTTTTTTTTTTTTTTTAAATTTGATTATTATTTTTTGAAGAAATATCAAATTTGGCACCGTTTACAATTTCTGGATATTTTGGTTTAAATATATTTGTTCTTGAAACATAGCGTTCTCTTTTTCCTAGAATTATTGCATATTTGTTTCTAATGCGTGAAAGCTTTGATGTTTAGGGCGGGGGAGAGGGGAGGGAATGCTTGTTCAATCAAACTTTTTTTTTAAAAAAAAAAAATTGTTTAGGCTTTGATAAAAGGAACATGAGAAAGCCCTGGAAGTTGTATTACTATTTGGATTAGATTTATATGGCATTTCATTGTCAAATTCTGACGTATGGCCCTTTTTGTTCTCAAGTTGGCTTGAACAATTTATTCCAGGTTGTTGCATGGTGAAGTTTTAGAGCAATGGAAATTTTGTCAGCAATTCAGGATTTATGTTAGTCAATGTCCAAGGAAAACTATATGAGGTAAGAGTATGACTTTCTTTTTTCTATTTATTGGGCCATCCATTATTTTTGCCGTTCTTGGTTGGCTAATTATTTATAGTTGTTTATATGCAGTCGAAGCAATTCAGGTGAAGGTTACAAAGATGAATGACAAACGTCCTAAAATCAATTGGTTGTCGCATGTTGATGCACATGACAATTTTTCATGCCAAAAGAAGTTTTTAAGTTCAAATTTTCTTTACTCCTTAGAAACACAAAAACCTTGTACAGAAGAAGCAATTCGTGCAAGGTATGTTACTGTTATATACTTTGATGTTTTTCTTTGAGTAGCACTTACCTACTCTTTCTCCCTTAACTGTTTCCTTAGAATATGAATTTTGCTTTATCGGTTTAGAATTAGTTGGATAAAGAAAAAATGGCTGTATGGTTAGTACAGTGAGAATTGTCTCTGTAAAGATACACTAAGAAGGAATAATTGTAAAGCTTGATATTTATCTGATGGACAACAGGCTTTCTGGTGATTGCAGTTTTATGTCTGGTAAAAATAATGTCATGATGTTATTTTAATCAAACAATTGATGTTTTTCTGTGATTCGTTCGTAAGATTTATTGATTGCATTATGTTACATAATTTCAAGAATCAAAGGAGCACATTTCTTAGTTAATGTTTTTCTCTGATTTCTTCATAAGATTTATTGATTGCATTATATTACATAATTCAAAGAATCCAAGGAACACTTTTCTTAGTCTCAATCCCTTGACCAATTTATTGATTTTTCTTTGAACCTTTCCCATGTCCTTAAGGTTAAGTGTCTGCAAGATTCAGAATTCTCAAAAAGTTCAGCATACTCAGGTGGAAAAGGTAAATCCAATTGACAGATGGACAAGTACTTTCACTAAGTTGGCTTTCAGTGCATACATTCGCATTTTAAGTTGCTTTTCTTACTCTGTTTACTTTACTTTATGTGGAGATAACTTTCCCTGTCTTTTCTTTTTTTTTTTCTTCTTTTGATAACATTGTCTGTATATGTAATGTTGTTAATCTTCTTAATTCCAAATTTCCTTCATACACAAAGATTTTCTTAGATATCCACTGCATGGATGCTTATTTATTGTTATTTTCTGATGTATTGAACCTTTTTGTTGAAATATTGTCCAGGCTTGGCAGATTCTTTCTAGTCTTCCAACATCTTGCAGGACCTACTTAAGACCCGGAACAACTGCTCCAGTTAAGAATTCAAACAATGAGATTTCACATAATTGGAGAGGAAGATCTACCCTAACAAACTCATCAGACATGAAGTGGTCTAAACAAATGCATGTCAGTCAAAACATCAATGAAACCGATAGCAAGATCAATGAAGTGGGAAGGTGCATAGCCAGTTCTTTTCCATCAAGTAATGCCAATGCTCTGGAAGATGGAAATCATCCACAAAGGCACAGTGAGATTAAAGCATCCGTGTCCAACCGTAGTAATTTGAAAGTTTTAGGTGGGTCATTATGGAATCGTACTGTTCATGCTGGTCAACTGGAGCAGTCTGCAGAGGTTTTGGCTGATGAAATTGATGATGATGACTTACTCAAGGTAATGCTTCACCTTTTTTGCCACTGTGGTATTCAATTGAAAGTTGGTTATGTTGACATAAATTGATCTAGTTCTATCTAACTTTCTCCCTAGTCTCTCCAAGTCCATTTTAACTTGAATTTGCTGCCATTTGAGTCAAGCATGTTAAATCTTGGGCTAACTTGATGCAGTCGATTGGGCATAATTTTGATTGTATAAATGCCTTCTATTGATTGCTTTAAGAAGTGTAAATTTCTCCTTTCTAATGCTATTCTGAAGTTATAAGTTATGCTGATTTTTTTGCATTTATTTGTCCTGTTTTTGAACTATTAATAAGGTCCCAGTATATTATCCATTGTAAGTCACACTTTCTGATCATTTATATGATAGTTAATTCCAGTCCTATCTATCTTTTATTGATATTGGGTTTCAGGATATTGATGTGGACCAGATTGTCTCAGAACACTATCAATCAACTTGCACGCCTCAAACTTCAGTTTCTAAGTTCCCACTCATTGCCCAAATGGATAAAAATGCTTTTGCAGGAGAAGAAGAAGCTTGCTTGCCTCCTGAATTATGCTCAAACTGCAGTCATGGGTGTAAGGTATACATCTCATCTGCATCTTTTTCTACTCTGATGTCATCTGAATTTTCTCCAAGTTTGATATTCCTGATTCTGGAAATTGATGCAGCTAGGACTCTGCCCAGAAGCTGCTAGTCATGTGCAGGAGATGAAGGACAAATTAATTGCTGTGTCAAATGAATTGCTTGACAATGCTTCCAACCTGAGTCCAGAGCAGATAGAGAAGCTTCGTGAGGATAGGTTTATCCTTCTTCCCCCTACAATGTTTGTTATTTGTTTTCCCCCCTTCATGACAAGGGGTTTTGCAATCAGGAGTATTTTGAGGCAATCATTGAAAATTATAATTCACGGAAAAGAAGAGATAATTAAAGCAGTTAAATTTAGGAAGTATGGGATAAAGTGCGATAGATGGCACTGGACATTATGCTCTTCATTATTTCATTATTTGCATATCATAACACATTAAGATCCTTTTTCAAAGAGATAAGAACCAACCACTGCTATATTTGTGCTCTGGTTAATGTATTTATGTTGATGGTCAGGTTGCAGCTGAATAAGCAAATTCAGCAGCTTGAGAGATATATCTGTGATATGGAAAGGCAAAAGTCACATTTCTCAGCATCAACAGCAACTCGCACCTTTCTATATGGAACACCACAAACAGCATCATTCAGCATTGACCCAATTCGATTTGATGCCCAGGTTCATTTATGTAATGAACCAAATGGGTATGAAAAGTGGAATTCATCATCAGTTTCTTTCTCCCCTGTAAATAGTTTTGGTGTTTCATCAGGTCCTATGGAAAGAGAACCATACGTTCCAAAGATTATTGAAATAAATTATATTGAGGGTTCAAATGACCAAAAGTGGAGTAGTAGGGATTTCCCGTGGACTAAAAAGCTGGAGGTGCTTATCCTAATTGTTCAAAAGTTTCCATACGCATGACCTTTTTCTAATGTTTATTTACTTCTTTCTTTTCAGGCCAATAATAAGAAGGTGTTTGGG